AAATCTAAACTTAAATTCTAAATCGGACAAACACACTCATTTAACACCCATGTCCGAGGCCGGAATCGAACCTTGCGTCTACTAAAAAGCAGCGCATTCATTTCGACCACATGGCCGACTTTTTTTTTTTTTTAACATAGTGTTAATCAATGCTGAAACATGATCCGCCTAAGCGGTCGTGTAACTCATACCTAAGACTCATACTATGACATCATGACTCATACACTCATACGACTCCAAATACGTTTAAAATAAAGTATACGGAGGGTTGTACGGAGGGTACCGCTTAAATTCCTGTCCCGATATTGAAGGATGGCTATAGAATTTCAATGCATTTCCTACATAAGTCTATCCTTGGTTTGTAAAGTAAAGTAAGTAAAAAAAAAGTAAGTAAAGTAAGTAAAAAAAAAAATCCTTGACTAAAGAAGGATGAACCTATGTCTTGAACATTCGACTCGATTTTCTGTCCTCCTTCAATACTGGAACGCAAATCCTCTCATTGCTCTTATGGGGAGGCCGTCGTATATTTTATTTAAACGTATTTGTACGACTCATACCCTATTGAATGACAGCTCGTTGATGTTAATCTGCAGAAGAACAATATAATAATTCGTAAAGGTGTGGATCCGGTGGCTGACCTTGAAGCCCATATTTGCTGCATTTGATCATCAATACTACGCAAGCGCACATCGTCGATGTTGCCAAATTGCAGTTTATTTTCGAATTATTTGTTGTTGAAAATTTTTTTTGGAGTGTTAATAATAATACAAATTCTATAATTAATTTTATAATTTCAGATTTATCTTGATATCCAAAATTAAGTTAAGAAAGAAAATGAAGATTGTGAAATGAAAGTATTATGAATATATAAAATTGTAATAATAATAACATTTATTTATATATTTACATTAGAATCAAAAATTATCATTTACGGATTTTTTCTTAATGGTTTTAAACTTATTAGAATTATTTTATTTCTTTCGAGTTATTTAATTTATAGTTATTTACAGGCAACAATAGTTTTTATTATATGTATTGATGTATTGAAGTACTACCATGACGAGTCTTATAGAACAATACACGTCAATGGGAGATAGAGGTAACATTTTACCTATAATGTTACTAATATATAATATACTTTGATTCTTTGATTATAATGTTTGTATCATAATTTCTTAAAAATATCAAGTTAGCGGATTAATAGCAATTTTAGACATATATTTTATCGAAAAGTGTGTTGATAAGACTAAAATAAGCTTTATGTTTTATCTTTTTCTCTTTGGAAGGAAGATGGTTTGTGTCGTAGAATACATTACAGTATTTGGTAATTACCCAGTATTTAATATCGTGTACTTTGATATTCTTTTCTTAATTTACTGTATGGAGTGTAGAGGTAAGGAGAAACAACTCTTACGGGACTTTTATTGAAAAAGTGGTCACAAAATGGGAAGAATAAGGGTTCGCCAAATAACCACAGTGGCGCTAAAAACGCATGATTCTAAAAAATGAAAAGTAACCATAGATAAGACTTAGTGTGTGATTTATATTAAGATCTTTCTTATAATATTTGTTATGTCTTAATTTTAATACTATATTATGCTTGGTCTGAAAAATAAATGTTAAAATATCCTAATTTTGCATATCCTATTCCATCCTTCCATTAGGAAAAATATGGTTTATAAATCATATATGCTAAGAAAATCACATAAATTATGGGTAAGATTAGAGAAATCTTAATGTAGCAGAAAAATTAATGCAATATAAAGCAGAATTAAACAAGGTAACTGTTAATGTTGCTGAAGCTGATTCTGCAATTTTAATTACGGAGGCTAAAAGGCCTTTTAAGGCCTCCGTAGTTTTGATGGAATGTTAAAAAAAAATATTATGAACAAGACATGGACCTACAGCCAGGGTTACAGGTTACAGGGGGGTATAAACTACATTACATGTAGTTAATGTAGTTTATGTAGAGGGTGTAGTTTATGAAACCTATGTATGTGACTTTCAAATATTAAAGGTTTGAGTTGAGGTTATAATACGTTGAAGCTTTAAAAAACACAATTTATTTAAGAAAACAGAAGAAATATGGCTTTAAATATAATATTCACACATCATATTATTTAGACCCCTCATACAAAGTAAAATTATTCATAATATTAATACATAGTTTATTAACGTAGTTTTCATGTAGTTAAATGAACGGGAAAAGACGTAGTTTTTGAAGAAAAACTACACGTAGTTAATCAGGTAAATTACGTCTTAATTAACTACTTCCAAACCCTGGCTACAGCATTTAAAAATTAAAAAAAAAGAAAAAACTTGGACACATCCCTTTTAATTTCCCGAATTTTTAATAAAGCACTTTTTAAACGTAGCATAATAATCTAGATAGGAATCTAGAGTTTTATTTCTATATAATTTTATTGACTATGAAAATACATAATAAGCGTTCACGTGTTGTGCAAAATATTAAAATAATAATATAAATAATATACCGCGTACTATGATTGAAAAAAAATAGCGTCAGCGATGACTATGAAATGAAGATCGCTGTCATTTTATATGGGAAATGTCCTCAAGCGTCATTTCGCAGCCAACTGGACGCCGTTTTTTCGATCATACGGTATATATTGACAAAAAAACACTGAAAAGCACATATTTGTTTTCTACGGAAAATAATTCCAAAATAACTCACAATCTGGCAACATCGAAGATGTGCGCATGTGTAGTGTCTGTAACTATTTGCAGCCAAAACTCGTTTCAAGGTCAGCCACCGGATCCACACCATTACCCAAAATAACTTGCAAACTGGTAACATCGAAGATGTGCGTATGCGTAGTGTCTGTGACTATATACAGCAAAAACTCGTTTCAAAGTCAGCCACCGGATCCACACCATTACCTATTCTACTTACAACTGTATAAAAACAAACCAATAAACACTAGATTTGCAAATTACAGGATTCTAAAAGATGAAAAACTGCGTTGATGAGACTTAGGTGAATATCATGGTGAATATGAACCGTTCCTGTGGTGCAGAACGACATGGCCAAGTTGAGAAAAAGGTAAAGGTGTGGATCCGGTGGCTGACCTTGAAGCCCATATTTGCTGCATTTGATCATCGATACTACGCAAGCGGACATCGTCGATGTTGCCAAATTGCAGTTTATTTTCGAATTATTTGCAGTTGAAAATTTTTTTTGAGTGTTAATCAATAATAATACAAATTCTATAATTAATTTTATAATTTCAGATTTATCTTGATATCCAAAATTAAGGTAAGAAAGATAATGAAGATTGTGAAACGAAAGTATTATGAATATATAAAATTGTAATAATAATAACATATTTATTTATATATTTGCATTAAAATTAAAAATGACCATTTACGTATTTTTTCTTAATGGTTTTAAACTTATTAGAATTATTTTATTTCTTTCAATTTATTTAATTTCTACTTATTTACAGGCAACAATAGTTTTGATTATATGTATTGATGTATCGAAGTACTACCATGACCCATGTACCATGACGAGTCTTATAGAACAATACACGTCAATGGTAGATACACAGGTAGATAGAGGTAACATTTTACCTATAATGTTACTAATATAATATACTTTGATTATAACGTTTGTATCATAATTTCTTAAAAATATCAAGTTAGTGGATTAATAGCAATTTTAGACATATATTTTATCGAAGAGTGTTGATAAGACTAAAATAAGCTTTATGTTTTATCTTTTTCTCTTTAGAAGGGAGATGGTTTGTGTCGTAGAATACATTACAGTATTTAATATCGTGTACTTTGATATTCTTTTCTTAATTTACTGCAATTTCTTGTTTCCTATAATGCCAAATCTTGACAATATGGTGAAGGTTGAGTTTTGATCTTATTAGTTTTATACCTGTGTTTATATACAAGACCAAATTAAGACTTAGTTTGTGATTTATATTAAGATCTTTCTTATAATATTTATTATGTCTTAATCTTAATACTATATTATGCTTTGTCTGGAAAATAAATGTTAAAATATCTTAATTTTGTATATCCTATTCCATCCTTCCATTAGGAAAAATATGGTTTATAAATCATATTATAGCTAAGAAAATCACATAAATTAGGTGTAAGAATAGAGAAATCTTAAAGTAGCAGAAAAATTAATGCAATATATGTATAAGCAGAATTAAACAAGGTAAAACTGTTAATGTTGCTGAAGCTGATCCTACAATTTTAATTACGGAGGCTAAAAGGCCTTTTAAGGCCTCCGTAGTTTTGATGGAATGTTAAAAAAACCTATTATAAACATGACATGGAGCTACAGCATTTAAAAATTAAAAAAAAGGGAAAAACTTGGACATATAATTTCCCGAATTTTTAATAAAGCCCTTTTTAAACGTAGCATAATAATCTAGAGCAATTAGATTAATTATAGGAATCTAGAGTTTTATTTCTATTTAATTTTATTGACTATTAACTGTATATTATGTATATTTCATTTAAACTATATCATTTTTAAAATACAAACCAAAAATCTGAGGAATAATTATGTTTTCCATGTATTCTACAATATATTTATTAATCCGTTATATCTAACTAGCGTGACGTCATAAATCTCGCCCGTAGGCTGATCTTTTAATAGAAGGCACTGCCTCAATCGTCATTTCCCAGCCAACTGGACGCGGTTTTTTGGATCATACGGTATATATTGACAAAAAACACTGAAAAGCACATATTTGTTTTCTACTGAAAATAATTCCAAAATAACTTAAAATCTGGCAACATCGAAGATGTGCGCATGCGTAGTGTCTGTGACTATATGCAGCAGAAACTCGTTTCAAGGTCAGCCACCGGATCCACACCATTACCTAAAAAGAAAATAGCAGATCCTGTTTTAACATTAATTTACACTCGATCACGGGTAGTACTCTATTAGTAGGCCGGATAGTCCTAGTAGCTTAGAGCTTAGGCCTTTAAATTAATTAAAGAAATAAGAAGAAAAAAATGGAATTAGGAACTAACCCTAAATATATTTTGCTGTCATTTACATGTTTTAAAAAGTGTTTATTTAAATTATTTACGATCCTACCTTATTATGGATTATGTAGAGGAGCAGAAAAGTGAAATTGAAGCTTTAGAATCCATATACTATGGGGATTTTAATATTATATCTACGGAGCCATACAAATTTTCAATACCAATTAAAACAGATGATTATGATACAGACAGCAATATAGGACTTTGCTGTGATTTAGTTATTACCTACACTAGCAAATATCCCGAAGACGCACCAATAATAGAAATAGAGAACGCAGAAAGTTTTGAAGATGGGTATGTGTCAGAATTGTTAGATCATCTTAACGAGCAGGTAGAAAATTTGTAACATAAAGTGTTTTGGGGTAAACCTTTCAAATTTTATTTAGGCTACAGAAAATTTAGGAATGGTAATGGTGTTCACGTTAGTATCGTCAGCCCAGGAGTGGTTACATTCCAAATATGATAATGCAAAACGTGAAAAAGAAGAAAACGAAGCTAGAAAATTAAGGGAGGAGGAAGAAGCTGAAAGACAAAGGTCTGAAATTTTTATATACTTGATATTTGAGATATTCAGGTTTAAAATACTTGTTTTTTTTTTTAGGTTTGAAGGAACAAGAGTAACTATAGAAACCTTTTTAAAATGGAAACAGAAGTTTGAAGAGGAATTTGGGATAGATAAAAAAAGGGAATTGCTGGAAAAAGAGGGAAGAAAACTAACAGGTGAATGAACATTAACTTATTAAATTTCTAATGTTAAAATTTTTTTTTTGTAGGGAGAGAACAATTTATGAGAGATAATACTCTGAACGAGTCTGATCTCAAATTCCTTGATGAAGGCGATAGAGTGAAGGTCGATGAATCGTTGTTCCAAGATTTAGATGACCTAGACTTAGATGATGAGGATGATGAAGATTTTGATCCGAATAATTACAATAGCGACTCATCATGATATCCCATCCTGTAGGAAGCTGTTACTCATCTAATAATTAATTATTTTTATATATCTTAATTTAATTTTAAGTAAAGCTGAAAGATCAAATAATGTTCTTTATTTTTGTTTTGGTTGAGTGATTTGTTGGTTGCCTAATAGTGGGAGCAATTTTATGATCAAAATTACCTAAGAAAATTACCTTCCAATTATGGAGTGTAGAGGTAAGGAGAAATAACTCCGTGCATTAAAAAATGGTCAAAAAAAGGGAAGAATTAGGATGGCGCTGCTGTAGCAAGATTCTAAAATTTAAGACATGCGCCGAACATTTTAGAACAGATGATTCAAGACATAAATATTTGACGTGAAGCAAACGCGAAGCCGCGGGTTTAAAAAAAAATACAATTTTATTTTCATGTTGCATGAAATAAATTACAGATTTTTATTCAGCAGCGATAGACTAGGCCCTTTTTTTATTGTTTCTCATAAGTTATTTCGCAAATGTCATTCAAGACGACGAAAAAATATTCTTATCGTTTTAGCTTAAAGTTAATGGTAATTATAATTCATAGATAAATGAAACAAGTTTAGATTGGAAAGTGCCCATAAGGACAATGTAAACACTATTGGGCGCTATTCTTGCAACGGTCGCGACCCAAAACTTTTGAAAATTTCGGAGCGGTTCGGCTTTTTCCGGAATTATATCGCCAAATATTGTTTATTCAAATTTATTATTATTTTCGTTTAATTTTATAAATAAAATACAGTGTGTTGCATACAAGAAACTTTATTTTATATAAGGACGCATGTATGAAATACCTATGAAACATTGAAACCGACGTTATGCCACGATCCACGATGGTTTTGCAGTTCACAGTTCACAGCACAGCTTTTTAAGTTTTTAATGCCACTTTTTCACAATTATCACCGGTTGGAGTAAATAAAACTTGAATTAAACTCACAAGATAGCAATAATTACTTTGAAAATGGAAGTTATAAACACTTTTCGGAATTTCTTTAATGAGAGCGGTTTAGATTTTGAAAGATTATTATGCTTTTTGAAGATTTTGACTTTGACAAGAGAAAATTATTTCTGTTTTTGTTTGCCGTTGTTCTTAGCGACCGCTATAGCAGCGCCAGATCGCGTATAACGGTCGCGACCCAAAATAATTTCGCGATCCAAAATTTTTACGGGCTTTCCAATCTAAACTTGTTGCATTTATCTATGTTATAATTAAGACAAATTTTATTTAAAGTAATAATTGGTGATGGGTTTAAAATAAATATAATGCAGCTTTGAAATAACTTCATACCTACATTGATTTAGTATAAAAGTAAGTCAATATGTGGTTTTATTATCGATTATTCAGATATCAGAGTCTCTTTTTATTGTTTCTCATAAGTTATTTCGTAAATCTCATTCAAGATGAAAAAGGTTTAGTTTAAAATTAATGTTAATTATAATTAGGAAAACTTTATTAAAAGTTTAATTGATGATATGGGATTTAAATAAATATAATGCAGGTCAAAAATAACGTAACACATTTTATTTAGTATAAAAATTAAGCCAATATAATATAATTTTATACTGTACAAGTATTTATTTACGTTTTGCCATCGTAGTTGCCATTCATTCAGAATAGTGGATTTTAAATGTTCGATAGTCGGATGGCTTAACTACCTTAATATCAACTACTTCTAGACAAGAATCGTGTGCAGTATTATCTTCTTTTTCACTCCCAGCTATTCCAACATGGCTTGGGACGTGAAATAATATAATTTTATAGCCCTTCCAGATGCTCATGTCTTCCTTGTAGTTCACCCAATAGAATCGTTCTCGCAGCTTCCTCCCAAGTTGGTAGTTGCTATTCATTCAGAATAGTGGATTTTAAATATATTTGGTAGTCGGATGGTTTAACTATCATAACTATAACTACTTTTAATAATTCTTTTTTCTCAATTCTTTGCACTATAATTTGCATCCCATGTATTGTAATATTTTCCTTTGAATTTCGTTTCCTATTGTTCCATGGCTTGAGGCGTAATGTTATAGCCCTTCCAGATCCTCATGTATATGTCCCTTTTCTTGTAGTCCACCCAATAGAACCTTTCTCTTAGCTTCCTCTCAAGTTGGTTCATTAAGAATAGTGGATTTTAAATATGTTTTGTATTCGGATGGTTTAACTACTGTAACATCATAAATAAATTGTATACCAACACATAATGGCCAAACTTCAACAGACTTTAATATTCATAAGCCTCATCAGAAGAAAATATTTTTTGATCCAAAGTTTCTTTTTCATTATTAGAATAAATTACCTGCAATTTGTTAATTCATTACAACATTGAATAAAAGATGCAAAGTGTTTATACATACTATAATAGATAAATCTTCATTTTAAATTATGTGATAGATCTGCTTGCTTGTAGGATCTAGACTCATAAACTCAATAATTTCTTTTATTGATATAACCAATAAAGTGGTAATGATGAAATTTTGTTTTTGATTTGAGCAGTAGGGTCCATTATTTCCATTATTTGATGCTGTTATTGCTCTACAAAATGTTGATCTTTATCAAAGGGATGTTTATGTGTATAATATTATTATTTATGTGTATAATAATACTGTATGATCGAAAAAACACGGCGTCCAGTGGGCTTGAAATGAACATCTCGATGACATTCTCCATATCATTTTACATATAAAATGACAGCAATCTTCATTTCATAGGCATCGCTGACGCCGTTTTTTATTCGATCGATCAAATTGTACTTACGTGTGTAATATTCATTTAATGGTTCCTGTTTTAGTTGCTGGTGTTCATATTTTGGTTTTTTATTGTGTTGTTGCTCTACAAAATGTTAATATTTATGTGTATAACATTACTCTTTCTGTGTATAATAATACCGTATGATCGAATAAAAACGGCGTCAGCGATGGCTATGAAATGAAGATCGCTGTCATTTTATATGTAATTTATATAGGAAATGCCATCGATCGTCATTTCCAAGCCAACTGGACGCCGTTTTTATTCGATCATACGGTACTTATGTGTATAATATTCATTTAATGGTGCCCTTCTTGCTTGTTGCTGTTGTTGCAATTCAGAATTTAAATTAACCTGAGGCACTAGGTAGAGCTTCATCCTCCAATATTTTCCTATGTAAATACTGAAGTGGACAGTATTTCTGATGACAATTTTATCACAAACTTTAACATCCTGTTCTTTAAAATGAAACTGCCATACCTTATCTGTAGATTTCAAAGCAATATCTAAATGTTTTTGACCATCACTGTAATCTAATTCTTGTCTGAAAATCAATACCTAATATTATCCTGATGATTTTGATTTTTGATAGATTATTAAAATACAGCACTTACAGTTAACTATATTTCTTGAAAGTACCTACAATTTTATGTATTTCCTACTTTTACTTGTTTAAAAAAATGCCAACAATTTGTACATATCTGTCAAACTTTAAAAATCATTAAAAATAAATTTTATTTAGGTTGTAACTTTATAAAAGGATTGTAAAATATACTTTGTAACATGTATGTCAATAATCTTACGAAAAATGTTTACTACACTTTTGATTGACTCTAATTTTTACATATAATACAAATAATACAATACTGAATTATATTATGTATTTTACATACCGTAGGCTTTGCCTTTGCTCTTTATTTTTTCCATCAGCTATTCAATCAACTTCGCACACACACACTTTAACCATTGTTAAATAATAAATAAAGCACAAAATATTGATAAACAATAATTATTTTATATTCAAAAACTCTGTCTGAAAACTAAAAACAAAATTTTTTTGGGTAATGTTTGGTTATATTTATTTTTATTCTCTTATCTATGGTTACTTTTCATTTTTTAGAATCATGCGTTTTTAGCGCCACTGTGGTTATTTGGCGAACCCTTATTCTTCCCATTTTGTGACCACTTTTTCAATAAAAGTCCCGTAAGAGTTGTTTCTCCTTACCTCTACACTCCATACTTCCAATCAATATTAGTTTGACGCGTGGTTTGACGATATTATGGTAGATGTCCCTGTCATCGTAATCGAACGCCGAAAGATCTGTCAAAGTCAAAAACATCTTGTGTCTGTTGTGTCATTCGTGTCTGAAAAATAGGTGCGTTAGAGAGTCGCTCCGAACTCAAATTCGAATTAATAACTAACGATATATTTAAAGATTAAAAACTATGAGATTGAAGTGAAATAGTTTCGAGATATGACGGATTTCGAGCCATCGGATTCATATTACAACGGACTAAACGATTTGCGATAAAAGTTTGTGTGTGTTTTTTTCAAAGTGCGACGTTATAAAGTTGTTTATGGTGTCCTCAAAATTATGGAAATATCATGGAAATGGCTGAGCCTCTGCCTGGGTCTTGTACTCGTGGGATTATGCAACGGATTTCCGATCAACTTGGAAGATACAAATGCTGGTGAGTCATCAACTAGCCAAGTTTTTTCACCCACTTGTTATTACTCTCACTTTCGTTGCATATTCTTGAGTACCTAAAGTAAAAAACACGTTACTATAATATTTTTCATTTCCTATAATAGTAAAAACATACTAGAGTCATATCATAGTTTATAACGCATTTTAAGTTGAACTATATGGATATTTTGTAATATTAGAACAAGCAGGAAGACTGATTTGCAATGTAACTTTATTTAGACACACTTTTATGTTTAAGAACAAACCAAGGATGAATAATTTCTGTTAGTAACTATCGTGTGTCTTGCGTTACCTTGTATGCATATGCTGCTTTTTAAATATTTGTCTTATGATTAATCAAATATACATATTATAGGTAGGTACCTACTAGTTGTTGAGTGATAACTACCTATATTATAAATAGGGAAATAAGAGAATTCTATTTCTTAACTTCTCTGCGAAGTATTTTAATAGTTCTACCTAACAGGATCTACACATATTTAATGTTGTAGTAATAATTAGGTGTATTGATATGCACCATGAATTTCTAAAATCAGTAAGATTAGCCAATAAACAGAGGTCATGATGCACCAACATGATTTTCCACGTTTTTCCAAACAATAAAGGATTAATTTTTAACAGTTTTAGCTGTGGAATCTATTAATCTGATTTGTTTTCTGACTGATATCGAAAATGTGGTCTCCCATTGAATTCCATCCATGCTATACATAACATACCTACCTATACCCTCGGGTTTACCAGTATAGGTAATTTAGTTTTATTTCCAAATATTTTAATATAGTAACGGAATTGTTCTTTTATTGCTATTACCTAGTTATGATTCTTTGAATAAAAAGTTACATTCCAATACCTACCTACCGGCAATTATAAAGCAATGACAAATTTATGTTAATTTTTATTGAGAATCCGTATACTACCTATAATAGTATCGAATTTTTTTAAGTAAATTAACTTTTACGGTATAGAGATCTTTCAAGTCATTTTTATATATTGTTTTTTTTTTAATCTAACCCAGAATTGAACCTACCTAGCAAGGTCATATCTAACGAATTTCGTTAGATTTGATTTTGCAAATTCTTATGTTAATTTAGATAAGGAACGTTTAGAATAACGTTATTCAAATTCAACAGATAATTTTAATATAGTATAAATAATTTAAATACCATTTGGTTTAGAAATATATTTTTTTTTTAATTCCATAAAACGTTTTAAGTTTTAAGATCAGTCAATAAATTGGAGTTGCCCTGATTGACCTTTCTGAATAAATAATCACAGAATAAATTATATGAATTACGAGCAAATTATTGACATAAACATACATAGTATAAGGTACCTATGAGGTATGTTTGTTAATAAATATGCAGTACCCACTGCTTTGTTTGAACTCAATCTTTTTATTATTCACAATGCTTTTTTTGTTTTTGTTGATAGTTAAAGCTTAAACTCTTTTTATAAAACTTTCTGATTTTTTAAAAATATTTATTACCTAATAGGTAGGATCGTAGGATCTCGGGTAGGATCAAGTTTGTATTTTTCCTTCCGTTGGTCGCGCACGGTCTCCAGACTCCTGGAGACCCGGTCATTATAAACGATAATTTAAGGATAATATATAATTTCCTAACAACCGGAGATTCTACCAAAGCAGACTTCTACTTTCCTCAGCACTTTCGGTAATACCGCACTTTCCTCTACAGACCCGGTTTATATTGAAGCGACCAACGGAATGTTAAATACAAAAATTAACTGTTTTCAGAAGACTATAAAATTTAAAATATTGTTGTTTAGATTTTTAAATAACTTATCACTCATACACCTATTTTTGTACTTCATATTGTTTATTGAACGATCGCAGACAAAGTTTTTATGTTTGCCATCTTTATGACCATGTGACTCATTTTAATTAGATCATAATTTGTAATGAGTAATGCCGGTCATGACGGTTCGGACATAACATGTTTGTTTGGAGATTTATTACGCATCCGATAATTTTGAAAGAAAATATTTACAGGGTATTCGCAGATAGATTACTAAAAGGAGACATAAATGACATAATAGGCTATTTATGTAAATAGTTAATGTTTTTCTTGATAAGTTAAGTAAGTAGTCTTCTGCTAGTGTAAACGTAAATTGTAAGTTAATGAGGAAAGTATTGTAGTATTTTAAATAAAAGTATTTTGTCTGCAAGCCAACAACAGTTACAAATTTTGAAATAAAGAAGAGTAATTCCGTTACTTATAAGTCTGGAAAATACCGTGACGTGGTGATACTGACCACACATCTTGCCCCAGCTTTGTCAGCCAACTGTTATCTTCATACCTGTTATTTTTTGGCAACAGATTATTGTTGCGAACTTTGAGAATTTCTTATAGAAAGACGTTGTTAAGAAATAACAACTATTGAACTGTTAAGAGCGTGGTAGAATTTCGTGGCACTGCGATCCCAACTTTACATCTCGAGAGCATCGATGTTAGAGCACTGTTATTTTCATACCTGTTATTTTCATACCGGTTATTTTTATACCTGCTATTTTTTGGAAATAACAACAACTATTGAACTCTTAAGAGCTTGGTAGAGTTTCTTGACATTGCGACTCTATTACATCTCGCGAGTATCAATGCCAAAGCACTGATATTTTCATAATTGTATTTTTTTTTGGAAAATAAGAACTGTTGGGAACTCTTATATAGAATAACAGTTCTAAAATTATATTTTTTAGAGTAACAACCCTTCTCTGACTCTGAAGTTATAAGATCTAGTTTTATGTTTACGAACTGGTACAAGAAAATAGAATTTAATTCATTTAAAATATATTTTATTAAAATAAAATTCATGTTTTATTATGATTTCGTTTTAATAAGAGAAAGAGAGGTTTCTTTATGCAATATCCGTTTAAAATCTCCGAACAATAGTATGAAATAAGAGTCGGTATAGCAGAAAAGGCAAATTAAATGTTAATTTACTTTATTATTCAAGTTGAGGACAATGGTCGAGTTTAGCGACGAATAGGATGAACATGTTAAAAGTCGGTAAATTTAGAAGTGCTCCTAACATAATTTAGTTTACATTCTATTTTTATATTGACCATTGTTGAAATCAAAGAGAAATGATGCATGCTTTAGTACCTTGAGATAAATGAAATGAATTGACCAAATTTGAAATTAAATCTGCATTTTGTTAGGTTAAAAATGCGATTTTCATTGAAATAAAATGTCAAAACCACTAAATAGTCGGAATCAGCAACTTGTCTCGTCTCTACTGAATTATTTTGTTCTTATTACTGGGTTAGAGAGGTAAAGATTGATATTGTTGCTACAATTTTGCAGCTTTTATTGAAAATGCACAGATCTTTAAGCGGGTTCCAGTTGCGCTCAATAACAGTTTACGGACTGTGAGTAAAATCTCACAAAAAGCGTAGACCATTAATGTACCTATTCTCTGGCGAATACTAATGTTTTGTTACTTAGGGTTACCAACTTTCTAAATAAAAAACTGTGTGTGCACTGTGCACTATATGCCTATATTTGACGTGAAACTTCTTAGTAAAAGCAATGTAAAAGCTATTAAATTGAAGGATTTGAAGAATATATATTTTTTATGAATAATTTTTAAAAGCTTCAAAAAATTAGAGTTAATATAAAACCGTAGACTATCCTGTGGCAGCACTGCCGTTACCATTTAGATCGGCTTTTCCCTCTCGCTAGCTCCCTAGATTCTTAAGCGGCAATATAGATACATTATCTGTAAAAATTTCAACTGTCTAGCTGTAACGGTTCATAAAATAGACCTTTGTGACAGACGATCGGACAGCGAAGTCTTAGTAATAGGGTTTCCGTTTTTACCCTTTGGGTACGGAACCCTAAAAAGTAACTGTGGTAATATTGCGGTGTGCATTCGTCAAATATTTTGATGGCGCCAATTTTTATTGATTTTACTATATTACATATTAGTGTTTTATCTATAAATTAATTGTATTGGTGCTCTTACTGCTTCTATTATTAACCTTAAGTTAGCATTATTACAGTTGAGGGTTGGAACCTTTGGTGTTAAACAGTAAAATAAAAACACTAAATCACCACAATACACCAAAACAGTTTATAATCATCTGCTGATGATGCTAACATGGTTAGCGAAACGCGCGTCCAGTGTAAAAGTAAAAGTGTTTTGGTGTATTGTGGTGATTTAGTGTTTGTATTTTGCTTAAGTTAGCAGTCGATCTTTCTATTTCAACATGTTTACTTATTTTTTAATCAGACCAATAGCGGTGTTAACAATTTATGTAATTCTTCTGCTCATGTTTACATTTAATGTTTACTTTTGTTTCAGAACATACGCAATTTCTGACAGGTTTAGTGGCCATTCTACTGACAGTCTGCAGTATCGTATTTTTGGCTGGTTGTCTATGTTGTCATAGAAGAAATGGATTTAAGGTAAGTTTCTCCCTATTTGTTTATAATTGATTTAGAGATTTTAAATCAATTAATTTTTTGCTGTACCTACTATTTTTTGCTAATAAGATTTTTCTCAAAAAAAAACTAATTCTTTACTAAATAATGTTTATGTACATATTCGGTAGTAGGAAGTAATTGCTTACCTGAATGGTGTTATGTGAAAGTTTATAATTGTATTTCTAATTTAAAAGTAATATACCGGAATGTTAGATTTATTGTGCAGATAAGACTGATTTTACTCACCTTTATCAACATGCATTATGCATGTATCTATACTATCTTTTCCGCATTCTTCACTGTATGCCATATGGTCGAAAAAAATGATGAAGTTGGTTTAGAAACAGGTCTATTTAATAAAAAATATTGGGACATTTATTCTTTTCCAACTTTGGCTGTTACGTCACAGATTGTCACTCTTGTCTATGTTAAAGCCAGGCCTACACGCTTCCTATACGATGCTTCCAACGTTGGTTTCACCGTTGGACGCATCATTTGCCGTAGGCTTTGACAACGTTGCCATTCACAAGTGTGTCTCCTACACGATGTGGCAAATGTTCATGTCCAACGTTGGAAAGTGTTTGACACATAAAGTGGGACTCACTCGTGTTCTTGGCAAACAATTTGTTTTTGGCCTATACTTGCCATGTTGTGTGAGTGGTTTATTTGTGCAATTATCTATCACTCGTCGCGCCGCGTTAGCGCCAAGCTTGCTGTTGTTGACAAATGAAAAAAAAATGTTTAAAAAGATGGTATACTTGCTCAGGACGCAAATATTGGTGGATTTGCTAAGTACACGAGTCGTCTGAAGCCGGTCCCAGACACTACGTGCATTTGGCGAATATTCGGTATTCGAGCTTATTCGCGTAGCGTGTGGGAGGTTACCTTCGACGAAGATTCGTACTTCGTCATTTTCCCGGCGGTCGTCGGTAAACTGGCACGAATCAAAGGAGCTCGTAGTGCGGCTTAGTCAACTTCGGAATTACTCCCAGACGCTACGGCTATTTGTTTACGTGTTTTTTTGGTTTAGCGGCGCGCTCCCCTACGCTTTGCCTACGCGTTGCTCTACTACGGGAAATATTTGTCATTGGACGCATTTTTACAAATAACGTAGCGTGTGGGAAGGTGGCCGAAGCCGCAGTACATAATTCGAATGTTCGCACATTCGCCAAATGCACGTAGTGTTTGGGACCGGCTCGAAGGTCGATTTATAAACTCTACAGTTGGCTTTGGATTTGCCGTCGACTGTTCGTAGCGCCGCAAAATCGCATTTATAAACTCGACGGTTGACAGTTGGCTTTGGCCGTTTTGGGCAGATCTAACCTTACATTTTTGTTTACTTTTTACTTAAGAGTAGCAGAGTCTATAGTGCGTTTTTAGAGACGAAAGTGTTTAAAGTTTTGGTTTTTTGTTCGAGATTTTTAATTATGGATTTGGAAACTAATGGTCTTGATGAAATTACCCTATTAGGGTTATTGGGAGTGACCATAAATTTGGAATTAGCATACTTCAAAACTAGATGTAAACAAAGCAACACGTGATCGCTCTTTACTATTCTATTGGCTGTAACGTCATTGCTACGTGGTGCTACGGACGGCGAACCGCCGCGAACAGTAAAAAGTTAAACATAATCAAGTCCGACGGCAACCGGGCGCCAAAGCCAACGCCAACCGTGTTTATAAATGCTCTTAAGTAGGATTTATAAACTCACAGTTGGATTTGGCTTTGGCGTTGGCGCCGCCGCCCAATTCTTAAAACTGTATATTACCATAAGAGCATTTATAAACACGGTTGGCGTTGGCTTTGGCGCCCGGTTGCCGTCGGACTTGAATTATGTTTCTTTTTTTTTGACAATCTTTTTACGGGTACCAATTTATTGAAATACCTAAGAGATCATGGGTATCATGGTACCGGCACAGTGCGAGAAAATAGACTTCCTAAAGGATGTCCCCTAATAGGAAAAAAAACATTTGAGAAACAACATAGAGGCACTTCTGAGTCAGCTCTTGATAAGTGTAACGGAATTTTAGTTGTTCGCTGGGTCGATAATGGTGTTGTCACCCTAGCTTTAACATGGTTTGGTTTGAAGTCAATGGGAACCGTTCGTCGCTATTCAAGTGCCGAAAAACGAATAATACAAGTTTCTCGGCCAAGTGTTATTGATATGTACAATTCTCAGATGGGGGGAACGGACCTTATGGACTAAAACATATCAAGGTACCGCATTGGTGTAAGAGGAAAAAAGTGGTGGTGGTGTTTGTTTACATGGATGCTGGATGCATCTATGCGGAATGCTTGGCAAATTCACAAGAAAACCAAAGGAACTCTACCACAACTGAAGTTCAGAAGAGAAGTTGTCAAATATTATTTGACAACGTTTGGTACGCAGCCAAAAGGTTAACTTTAACTTTTTACCGTTCGCGGCGGTTCGCCGTCCGTAGCACCACGTAGCAATGACGTTACAGCCAATAGAATAGTAAAGAGCGATCACGTGTTGCTTTGTTTACATCTAGTTTTGAAGTATGCTAATTCCAAATTATGGTCACTTCCAATAACCCTAATAGGGTAATTTCATCAAGACCATTACTTTCCAAATCCATAATTAAAAATCTCGAACAAAAAACCAAAACTTTAAACACTTTCGTCTCTAAAAACGCACTATAGACTCTGCTACTCTTAAGTAAAAAGTAAACAAAAATGTAAGGTTAGATCTGCCCAAAACGGCCAAAGCCAACTGTCAACCGTCGAGTTTATAAATGCGATTTTGCGGGGCTACGAACAGTCGACGGCAAATCCCAGGTGGATGACACTTCTTATGGGAGAACTGGCAATGGTTGAAAACTTGACTACAAGCGATTTTCTAGGAATCTTCCTTACCGATAAATTATTGACAAGAGTGACAGATAAAGCCTTGACGTTCTTTCAGTATTCCAGTTCTTCTCTTTTTCTTTCTAAAGTGTGCGTTGAAAGGAGACAAAAACAATTTTTGGTGACCCATAATTTGTTTTTCGAACACCACTTTTCTCCTTGTCGGGTCGTTGACGTTGACTTGTCGCCATTTTATTTCTTTTGTTTACACGCTGCATTTTGCTTTGCAAATTTAATACATAAATTATTTAGGCAAATATATAGGTTTTTAATAAAACTCCTCGGACTAACGTGTAGGTAAGTGTTGATAATTTTTTTTTCATCTTAACATGCTCATTGTCGTTCTCCTGATTTTAGGTGACAGAAAAGGATCATCAAATCAAATTGAATTTTATATTTTCCTTCCTATTTATCCTTCCTAAATATCAACGAGATGAGCCATCGGAAGAAAGGGACCATAGTACAAAACAGAAAGGTGATCTTTTTTCTTTCCACTTCGGATATTGAAATTATTATATACTGTAGTCGTGTTCGGCATTATGCTCTGAGAAATATAGATAAACAAAGAACAACAGATATAAAGCATCCCAGAGGAAAAGAGAGGCAATACCTGTATGTACTCTCTCTGATATTTGTGAAAGTTACAGCAAAGTATTGTCAAGAAAAATGGCGCATCCGCCAGAAATTAAAAATGTATTACTGGTTGCCTGCACAACCGCAACGTATCCGCCAGAAATTAAAAGACTTTTTCAGGCGCCATCTTTTAGTCAAGTCGAGAAGTAAGGGAATCAGACAATGGAATTGTCTGGTATGAAGAAGTACGCTTTCCGAGAATTGGGGAAATTTCGAGAAGCAGTCAATAGAGTATATAAGCCGGAGCCATCGACCACTGAGACAGTTTTTTGAAATTTGAATATACCGCGTGGAAATTGAAAATCGGACAATTTGGTGAAGGAATCTTATAAATAGTTAGTTGTTGTGTGTTATAAGTTAGTAATTGTGTATAAAGTAAGAAAAATAAATTCGTTAAGTATTTTATCGTGAGTTTAAATTAGTGGACCCACGGAATCCGTAACAATTGGTGTCAGAAGTGGGATTCAAGAGGATTTTAAGAAGAAATTAAGTGGATTGGAAGATTTTTAGACCGAATCAAGAGTATTTTTATGGTTGGTACAAGGGAGCAATCGAGGAAAATGGAGGAAGTAAGCAAATTATTGGGCGATTTTATGGAGAATATGCGAAGAGAAAGCAGAAGAACAAGAAAAACTGCAGAAAATGCTTATGGAAAATCAAGAAATTAGACAAAGAACGGTTGGAGAAAATTGTAGAAAACCTAGAAGTGCGTCGCCAGAAGAAAAAAAGAGAACAGGACCGGCTTGAGAAAATTTTCGGAGATTTGAAAGTTCAACGACAACAAGAAAAACAAGAAGAACAGGACCGGCTTGAAAATTTTCGAAGATTTAAAATTCAACGACAACAAGACAAACAAGAAGAACAGGACCGGCTTGAGAAAATTTTCGAAGATTTAAAAAATACAACGACAACAAGACAAACAAGAAGAACAGGACCGGCTTGAGAAAATATTAGGAAATTTGGAAATTCGTGTGGAGGAGCGACGTCACGGGGAAGAACAAGAAGATCAGGACCGTCTTAAGAAAACTTTGGAAAATCAGAATTTCGACTACAGAAGAATTTTGAAGACCTGGAAAAACGACATGAGAACCATTTCCATGAAGTCGTAGAAGATCTGGAAGAACGCCTTCAGCAGAAAATGGAAAAATTGGAGATGGACCTACAGAAGACCAAGGTACAAATGGGACACCTGGCGTTCATGGAACTGCGAACCTCAAGGCCCCGACCTACGATGGACAAACCACCTGGACGATGTACCACCGCCAGTTTGAAGCAGCGGCTGCTGCCAATGGATGGACTGACCAAGAGAAAGCAGCAGCACTTGTCATCGCGCTGCGTGGCCCGGCCCTGGAACTGTTGCAAACTATTCCTGCAGCCCAACAGCAGGAATACCAAACTTTGGTCGCTGCACTGGACAGAAGATATGGCGACCAACATCGACGCCAACTTTACCAGGCCCAGATCAAGACACGCCTGCAGAG